ACTGTCAATATCAATGAGCCCCTGCCCAGATGTACTAACATACGGTTGGGTGATCAAGTAGTTAAAATTGGGTTCAAGTATGAAAAATTAGGAAATTTATGCTATTATTGTGGAATTATTGGCCATCTTGACAGAAGTTGCAGCAAAAGGATTTAAGATATCAGGCTCAATACCCTGAAAAATAGGCAGTAAGGTGAGTGGATTGAGGCAGATGAGAGCCAATCTTGGCCACGGAATAATAACTCGAGCCCAAAACTGTCACCAACCAGGGATGCCACATCAGCAGATGTTGATATATCCCAGCACACTAGTTCATCCCATCAGCAACCAGGAAGTCTAGGCATACCAAATGCATAGGCTCCTTTCAGACTCTTATCATCAGGATACAGTAGCATCAAATTCAGGGAAGCAAGCCTCAACTTCTCCTACTCAGTTAGCACCATGAGAACAAGTTGTATCTCATCCAAAGCAATCCTTGCTAATCATCACATCAAATAAGCCAGCTCAGGAAGGCATCAAATTAATGGAGATTGAACTTCCAGACACACCTCTCTCAGAGCAAAAGATTGACAAACCTAAGGAGCTGGCTTTAACCAAAATATCAACATGGAAGAAATCATCCAACAAAGAAGGTAGGCTACAGAGGCAGGGGGACCTGGACTTGGTGAATGCTGCTAGTTCTGGCTCTAAGACGGGAAGATCAGAGCAGGTGGATAATGTTCTAGAGGAAGATGAACAGTTTAGGTGAGGGATGCCAGCCTGGAGTGGCACCCACATTCTCAATGTTGGTTGTGGTGTGGATTGTAGAAGGCTGGGTGGGCCCTCTACAGTTTCCCAAATCAAAGAGTCTTTTAAGACTCACCACCCAAAGTCTTTATTTTTATTAGAAACAAAAGTTCTCACTCTTTTGTTAAAGCTGTTAGTAAGAAACTAGAATTTCCTGATAGACATGCCATAGTGGACCCTAGAGGACTGAGTGGGCGTCTTCTTCTTTTGTGGCACCAAGATGTGGAAATTGTTCAATTGATATCCAAAGTTTTTTATATTGCAGTGCATTACAATCTGAATGAGGTGGATCAGGGTTGGGGTATACTTGTGTATACGAGCACTGAAAGGGGTGCTAGAGAGATGCAATGGATGGAATTAGAGGAGGACAAATCATCATGGGACGACATCTGGTATATAATTAGAGATTGGAATGCAATATGTTCAATGAAGGAAAAGCAGGATGGGAGAATCAGACAAGCCAGATCTTTTGATGGGTTTAAAAACTTCATCATGAACATGAAAATGGAAGAGATTAGGATAGAAGGTTATCAATTTACATGGGGGAACAATAGAAAGGCTGAAGGATATGTGGAAGAGAAACTTGACAGGGCATTTGCATCCTTTGATTGGTTAAGCATTCATCTTAATGCTAGCATCCTGAATATAGCCAGAGGCCCAGAACTACATCTGATCACTCTCTCATAGTTCTCAATGTGGTGTTCATTCAGGCAGACCTAAGAGAAGTTTTTTTTTTTTTTTTTTTTTTGACAAAAGGTGGCTTGCAAAGGAAGGAACGGAAGCAGTAGTTCAGGAAGCATGGCATACACCCTAGCTGGGAACCCCTTTCTTCAGGCTTAAAGAAAAGGTGAAGTGCACTAGACTGGCTCTGTTGAAATGGAGCTCCAAATTCGAAACACACAATCAGGAAAAAATTGAAAATCTATCCATTAAATTGGAAAGAATTAGGGTATATGGCATAATGGAAAACTGGGAGGATTGGGAGAATACCAGAGCTGATCTTGATGCTGCTTATGCATATGAGGAAAAGTTTTGGGCTCAGAAAGTCAGAGCTCAATGGCTTAAGGCAGGAGACACCAACTCAAAATTCTTTCATGCCTACACTATCCAAAGAAGAAGGAAGAATGTTATATCTAGACTTGTTTCTGAAAGGGGCAGAGTATTCAGCACAAGGGAAGAAATTGAAGAGCGCATTACCAGTTACTATTCAAATTGGTTCACAGCTGAGGGGTCTTGGGGTGCGGATTCTTTATTGCATCTTATTCCAAACTCTAAATCAGAAGACATGAACCAACAACTCTTGATGCCTATTGAAGTTGAGGAAATTAAAAAGGCTTTATTTAGTCTCCACCCAGATAAATCCCCAGGAGAAGATGTGGTGACTGCTTTCTTCTATCAGCACTTCTGGGATTTAATCTCCCCTGACTTAATTGCAGCTGTACAAAGCTTCATTGATTCTGGTATGCTCTTTCAATACTGGAACCACACACTTATTACTCTTGTTCCTAAATGTTAGACTCCATCATCTCTCAATCAGTTCATGCCCATATCTTTATGCAGTGTGTTTATAAGAGTCTTGCTAAATTGTTGGCCTTAAGATTTAAAGCATGTCTTAGCTCTTGCATTAGTGAGTGCCAATCTGCATTTATTCAAGACAGACAATTGCTAGACAAAGTTATTCTAGCCCAAGAGGCATTTCACTTTCTCCACAGGCACATAACTAGAGAAAACTGCTTTATGGCCCTAAAACTGGACTTCATGAAGGCATTTGATAGGGTTGAGTGGGTTTGCATTGAGAATATCATGATCCAAATAAGGTTTAACCTCAACTTTGTGAAGCTGCTTATGGTTTGTGTTACTTCCACCTCTCTCCCCTTCTGCATTAATGGCTCTTTAAGTGGTGTGTTTTTTCCTACCAGGGGTATAAGACAGCGGGATCCACTATCCCCCTATCTATTTCTTATTGTCACATAACTCCTTTCTGCTTTTATTTGTGACTCTCTACACAGAGGCTCATTAAGTGGTCTGAAACTTTCCAAAAATAGTCCTGCATTATTTCATGTGCTCTTTGCAGATGAGGCTTTATTTTTCTGTAAAGCAGAGACCAATCAGGCTAATGAGTTAATGAATCTGCTGGAGAAATATAGAATGTTCACAGGCCAAAGGGTTAACCTCCAGAAGTCATCTGCTTTTTTTCAGTATGAACACTCATATCAATGTTCAGAATCAGATATTTGTTGCTCTTCAAGGGATACAGATTCACACTTCCACAAGGTACTTGGGCCTCCATTTGGGGATAGGTAATCCAAATCTCCTATGTCATAGAATCTTTGAAATCAAAGCTTTGTAGCTGGAAAAACAAAATGATATCAGTGACATGCAAGGAAGTCCTTATAAAAGTTGTTCTCAATGCATTGCATGTATTCACAATGTCTTGCTTTAAGTTGCATGTCTTTGTATGTAAAGTTATCTCCAGTATAAGTGCTCAGCACTTGTGGTGTCACAGTGAATCTCAAGAAAAGGGCATCCATTGGAAAGCCTAGCAGTTTCTCTCTGTGCCTAAGGCAGATGGGGGGTTTGGCTTTAAATATCAATCTCTTTAGTCAAGTACTCATTTGCAAACAACTATGAAGAATTGTCACTCAACCTAACCTTTTGGTCAACAAAGTTTTGAAAGACAAATATTTTCCCAACTGTTCCATTTTTTAAACTTTTAAAACTCAAAATGGATCCTGGGTTTGGCACATTTAGTTAGATTGTATTCCTATTTTTGCTCAAGGATTCAGAACTGAATCGGAAATGGTGTAGATACAAGAATTGTTGACTTGAACTGAGTACCCTCTCTTCATTCTTCTACACCTAAACTGCTTGCTGTTGCCCAAGGTCACATAACCTGGGCGAACGAACTAATGTTAGATAATGGTGTGGAGTAGAATTCTTGGTTAGTGAAGCGGCTCTTCAATCCTATAGACAGTCAGACCATTCTGAGTATTAATACTGTCAATCCATCTAAAAAGGACAGGGCCTACTGGAGTTTGGACAAGAATGGGAAATTCAGTGTCTCATCTACCTATTCCTACCTTATAAATCAGAAAGTCTATCAAACTTTATATCCAAGCAAGCAGTCAAAACCCAACATCACTTAGAAAAGCCAGACTCAGGGGTTGGCACATGAAAGTTAAAGGCACCCTTAAGCGCTTTGTTTAGAAGTGCATCACAGATACTTTCCTGTGAACACTAATTTGCAGGAAAAAAGGCCTCAATGTGGACATCATGCGTCGTTGCTGTGGGGAAAAGCCAGAGACCATTGATCTACTCTTCCATTGCTCCAGAGCTCAACTGATGTGGAAGCTGGGTCCTATCAACTGGGATGGAGTAAATACTCAGGGTTACAAATTCAGAACATAGTGGTGGCGATTATGGTCTACTGATAAGACTCCAATAGCCGAGGATAGACTTCAGCTCACTACATATCTCTTATGGTGGCTATGGAAGTCGAGAAATTTGTGGATGTTTGAAAAGAAGTTCATTCCCATTCCAGTGGTGATCAAAAGAGCACGGCAGGAATGGCTAGACTTCAGAGATTTGTAGGTGGGATCTTACCTTGTTGATTAGCTGGTTTGATTTTATATTTCATTCTGTTTTAGGGTTGTTTGGTTTTACTCTGGCGTTTCTTTATCTGTTCCTGTGTTTTTGTAGCTTCTTATTGGTTGAATTTGAAGGTGTTATGTCGGCTAGGCAGTTGATGTAGTGGCTTTGGCTTTGTTGTTTGATTGACTCATTCTAGGCCACTTTTTAGCGTGTCCTCTCATT